CTTTGCATTGCTTTCTTATTTCTTGTCCCCCCAAAAAAAACACAACTAGGTGCGTCTTATAGAGCAAAAAAATATGGTATATAGCCTTTCCCCAATACCTTTGTTTTACAGCTTATGTGCATTGATAACAATGACAGTGGATAACAGTCAACACATAATTGGATGATTTCTGTAAAGAATTATACAGAAAGGAAAACATTTAGCTCTACAATGATTTTTTTTCCTCAAAGGAGTGTGTGACTCTCTGTTAGTAGATTACATAATCGTGGCGGATTGTATTCTCTGATCCCACATGGTGGTTTTGTTTTATAGGACTTTTGTGCCGTTAATTGATTGGTGCTTTATGGGATGTATAGCATCATCACCTAAAGGACTTTGGTTATGGGTGTACTAATAAATCTAATAAATAAATAATAATGTATAATGTATAAGCCAAACATGATTCCAGTGCCACAATCATTTCAACCATTCTGTGCATGATGGTGAGACAAATTTGCATTTACCGAAGTTGCATCCAGATAACTAGTTTATTGAACGTCCACCCTGATTTGTTTGTACAAAGATTGCAGGGAACAAGCACACCTGTTTATGGAGAGTGCATTCTTACTTGTTTCCCCAAAGGTTATATGTTGTTGCATACAAATGCCAAATCTATAAAAAGCATGGCCTTTAATACTGAGGGTCTTTCCTAATGACTTTTATCATTGCTCAGTAGTACACATGCATTTGTTTCTCATCTGATGTAGTTACACCTTTCTCTAAGGTAGTGCTTTGCTGAAGGTAAATTGAATTTTACCAGCCAAAGTGGTAATGTGAAAAAGGCTCATTCCACACACAGAGCATTTTTGATAGAGAGTGCTATGTGGAATGTGGCTGCACAAATTAGCAAGTATTGGCTAGCGACTATGACAACACTGAATGATTATTGGCCCCAAGTGGTTGTTGTTGTTTTTTTAAAAAAGTGTGTATTTTATAGTTATCAACAGCCTAAAAACTCAGTTTTGTGCCAGTCCAATGCAAGAGTGTTCATACGGTCTTTCAAAATACAAATTAAAATTCAGAACAAAACCTGGTAAACTCCATTAAAGCTATTGGCATAGCAGTGTTCCGTTACAGTGGTAACTCGGGTTACAGACGCTTCAGGTTACAGACTCCGCTAACCCAGAAATAGTACCTTGGGTTAAGAACTTTGCTTCAGGATGAGAACAGAAATCGCATGGCAGCAGCAGGAGGCCCCATTAGCTAAAGTGGTACCTCAGATTAAGAACAGTTTCAGGTTAAGAACAGACCTCCTGAACAAATTAAGTTCTTAGCCCGAGGTATCACTGTACTTTGATATCCCTTCCCCTACCCTTTAATTCTAGGCTGCAGTTCAGAATTTCACTCCCTTTAAAAATACATCAAATATTATTTTCCCCCACCCCTTGTGGCAAGGCTACATAACTCATTTGCACAGTGACAAGAAACTGATGCTTTTCCTAGATAAGGACTTGTGTTAGCCTATCTATATCAATATATATCTCTGTAGGTGACTGTGGTTCTTTGGGATTCCCACCCATTTCTTTCAGCTGGGGTCTTGTCTCAAAAGCATGATGAAATTCACCTCTCTTTAACTTCAAAGAAATAAATGCCATCCTCCTGTTTTAAAGAATATTATTTGAAAGCAGATTGTGTTCTAAGCGTTTCTGCTCCCACTCAGGTTAACTGCCTCTGTAACCACCCATTAAGAGTTCTGCACTCCTGTTTTACAAATGGGAATTGTAGCTGCATACAATGCAGTATTATCTTGTGCCCCAGGAAGGCAGAGAATGAGCTCAAAAACATCGGGGCGGCTTCTCAAAGAACATTTATTCACAAGGAGACCTTTTAATTTCTCCCATCCCCTCGCTCCTAACGTAAGATCTATTTATGGCAGGATGACATCTACAGCACTATGTTCTTTGCAGCCATGGCTCCTCTGAAAAATTAATACTATACGCAAATTCAGCTTTAAATATTAACATGGACTGTGGGAAAATATAGGTCCCCGTACTAAGAGCTGAAGAATTTCAGGCTGCTTGCTGTTGCACAACAGCATTACAGGAGTACATTATTTTGGTGAACGAGTTCCGATTACTGGGTCTGGGTGGGTGCTTTAATTAAAAAATTAGGCCTTTCAAGTCAGCTATGTTTTAACCATTTCTATGCTTTGTGGCCCAGACTAAAAATGTTAATTCAGGATTTGGGCCTTTGTCCTCTGCCAGTGGCTTGCTTTAAAATATGGCTTGCAATTTAACTGGGTGGCATCTGGTTCCACAGGCCCACTCTGATGCTAAATTGTCATCCCAGACAAGAGGAGAGAGGGCAAGGCATGGCAGCGACATTATGCAAGGAACCAGCCTTCACAGGAAGCATCTCCACATTGCTACTGGAGATTCAAAAAAACAGTGACAGCTGCATTCTTGGTCAATTAGAAACATTATAAGTTGAGTTGACACTGCAGCCCACTGATCCTAAAGTCTGGGAGCCATTAGATCTTAGCATCTGAATGATGTGATGGTAGTGTTCAGCACACTGGATTTAGAGTGGGAAGATTTCAATTGAAATCCCCACAAAACTCACTGAGTGACTTTGGACCAATAAGTATCTCTGAATCTTAATATACCTCAAAGGGTTGTGATGATAAAGGAGGAAAGGCCATGCAAACTGCCCTGTGTGAAGGAATGGCAAGATACAAATGTAATAAATACGTTTCATTTCCTCATCTCGTTCTGAAGGGGGTCGGAGTAGCTTTTCTCCACTGTGCAAATACAGCCATTCGTTTCAGGGAAGTACCAATGAAGGCAGAGGAATGCAGCCAAAACTACTGACCAAAATAGGGGGAGTCAGTGGCAGAGAAAGGAGAGGAGACTTATATTATTTGTATGAGGGAAATACTATGAATTCTACATTCACCCTCTGTTTATACCTTTTGATTTTCTAAACATATGCTGTTCACTCAGCGTAGCACACCTGTCCTCAAGGCTTTTATTTTTTTCTTTTTTAAAAAAAGATGGTATTTCAATTCCAAAGATAGAGAGGGATGGAAAGGAACTGCCAAAAAGTATTTACTCAGGACAATACTTGAAGGACCGCCTTTCCCTTTTTGAATCACCTTGGAACCTGCACTCACCATCTGAGGCCCTTCCTTGTATGCCTTCTCTGTAAGGTCCAGAGAATGGGGCTTTTCTGTGGTGGCTCCTGCTTTGTGGAGCGCTCTCCCCAGGGAGGCTCGCCTGGTACCTTCATTGCCTATCTTTAGGTGCCATGCGAAAACCACTTTTAGAATTGGGTTTAGAATTAAAGATCTTTCTTTCCCCTCCCCCTTGGTTTTTAATGTATATATGTGAGGGGTTTTGTTCGTTCGTAAGGGCAAGATAAAGCGACTTAATAATGATAATACTGTGATAATAATATAATGATGTATCCAGGCTGTAACAGGATATGTGGTCTGTGTAGGATGACGTGAGGAAGAAGCATTTATTTTGGAGTATGAAAGCAATTGTACACATAATGAAACGGTAGACTGAGGTGGTAGAATTCTAGATGGCACTACTGTACTTTGTACTCATGAGGTGATTGTGGGTCCTACCCATACATGAGATCAGGGGATTTATTGGCTTATCAAAGAGCCTTCTTGGAAAGAACACCTCTGTTATGTAACACCCTCCCCTCCGAGGTTCAGCTGGTGGTGCCAACATCCATCTTTTGGGGCTGGCTGGAGAACTTTCTTCTTTTGCCAGGTCCTCTGAATATGTATGTATAGGGCCAGCACAGCGAGATAGTTTTGCTCTACAACTGATTATTTTGACTGTTTAAACTGCATCTTCTCTTTTGTTGTTACCTGCCCCAACATCATCTGGTGAAGGGTGGCATCATCTATGATGAAGGGTGGCATATACATTTTATAAATAAAACAATAATACATAAATAATCATATTTGACAAAACAGCTCAACCCTTTCTTTGACCTAGTTCAGCCTTTCCCAACATTGGGTCCGCATACGTTATTGAGAACTACAGCTCCCAGCATCCTTAGTGAGAAGGGCCAGCAGTCAGGGATGATGGGAGTTGTAGTCCCAACAACATCTAGGGACCCAAGGTTTGGAAAGGCTGCTACTGTATAGTTAATTATACAGTGGTACCTCTGGTTCCGTACTTACAGTAATTCGTTCCGGAGATCCGTTCGTAACCTGAAACTGTTCTTAACCTGAGACATCACTTTAGCTAATGGGGCCTCCTGCTGCCGCCACGCTGCTGCCGTGTGATTTCTGTTCTTATCCTGAAGCAAAGTTCTTAACCAGAGGTAATATTTCTGGGTTAGCGGAGTCTGTAACCTGAAGCATATGTAACCTGAAGCGTCTGTAACCCGAGGTACCACTGTGTGTATATATATATATATGTGTGTGTGTGTGTGTGTGTGTGTCTCCCCACCCTCCAAAATCTCACCACCTCAATCTTTGTAATCTGTAATGTATAAAATGGCCCTGACGGGCCTGCATTTTCAAGGATTGGTAGGATCACTCAGGAATATTCTCTGCCTCAGTTCATGACCATTACGACCATTCGCAATTTATACTTTCTCCACGTTAAATATCACCATACACGCTTCCCAACTAGTGCAGGGGAAGATCTGCCCCCCTTTTCCATTTGCCTCTGTCGGTCCCTACGGCCTTGCAACGAAATTCGTAGGAAACTCCATTCTTTATATACATTTATTGATTAAACGTACCACGCTTTATGCTTTATATCTAAGATTGACCCGTTCTCCCCTTGCTTAGCCAAGCAGCGCAGGTCGGCGTGTGAACCTGCTCCAAAGCGCAGAGCGCGCGCGGAGCCCGTGGCCGTAATTTGGCGGAGCTGCGCGTGTGAACGGGAAGGGCTGCTTCTGCCCGCCGGTGTGGATTGGGCAAATCTGTGTGCGCGCGCGCGCGCGCAGCCCTGCCGGCTCGAGCGAAGGGCGTGTAGTTTAGCAGTGTGTGCGCGCGCGTGTGAGCTCACCCGGGTCACACTTGGCTGCACGTGCGGCAGCGACGCCCCTTCTTCGCCCATTGCGCGCGCCAAGCCATGCCACCTGGGCGAGCGCTGCCCGGCGGCTCCCTCTTCTCCCTTCCCCCCCGCCTCGCTCCTTCCCCGCCGCTTGCTGCAGTGTTGGGGGGAGGGCAGATCTGGAGCAAGATGGCGTTGCTGTGGCTGCTGCTGCTGCTTCTCCCAGGGTCAGCACTGGAACAGCTCCTTCCTTTGCATTCCCACTAGCACCGGCAGCTGCCCTGGTGTTCTGCAGCCGCTCTGCAGCCTCCTCTCCTGCCCTGGCGGTTATCGCTGCAGCCAGTGATCTCTTTCCCCCCCACCTCCTCGGCGCTCCAGCTTTCTCTTGTTTTGGTGCAAAGCTTTTCCCCCTGTGTGGCAGCCGGAGAGGGGGTGGGGGTGGGGTGGAGAGTGCGCGACTACATCTCCTCTCACTCCTTTTGCAAGACACTCACTAGGCTGTACCCATTCTTTGGAGGACGGCACCGAGCCAGGTGCAATTTTATTTTGTTTTTTTTGCAGGCAGCTTCTCTTAGCATCTGTTTTGGCTTGATTTTGCAACGCCGAACGCCGGGGCCGTTGCGATTAGAAACAGCAGCCTCAAATTATAAAGAAAAGAAATATATACCTATATCTAAGCAACTCACTTGCAACTGTGGCCGTTGCAACCCGAACCCCCTTCATCTTCCCATGGAGGATGTAATCGGCTAAAAAATACCTGAAGGCGACGCACTGGGATAATAACATGGAGGAAGAGGAGGAGCTGCAGCAGCATTGAATTCCCTGGCTGTGCTATCAAGAGGAAAGGAGATGGTGATTTTTTTAAATGTGGCACCGGCGCAACTTCTGGAGTTGCGAGAGCTTTCAGCCCCCTCCCCTCATCCCACCGCCTCACCTGCCTAGTGTCTGCCGCTTCTGTCATTTAATTTTTTGATCCACCCCCCCCCCTTTCTCTCTTCTCTGCACCCCCTACAACCCTCCCCCCCTTTTCTGCTTTGCCATGGGAATGGTGGCAAATCTCTTGGCTATTGTCATGTCGGCTTCATTTTTCAACCCCAGCTTTGCCTTCAGTTCGCACTTCGACCCCGGTAAGTTGGCTTTATTTCTGTAAAAAAAAAAAAGTAATGATTTCTCAATTTTCCTTTCCCTTCCCCTCTATCTCTCTCTCTCTCCCCTCCCCCCCCAAAAAATCGCCTTTGATTTTCCTCTCCTTGCCTCCCACTTCAGCTACAGATTTCTTTCCCCTTGCAGGCAATTATCCTCTACCTGCCCCCCCCCCCGCACTTCTTGCGTTGTTTAACCCTTTGCTGAATCTGAGCCATTTTATTAGGCCGCTGGTGGTAAAGGTGGCAGTTAAATCAAGCAAGGAGACAAGACAACAGTACCCCAGTCCCCTGCTCCCACACACTGCTTTTGTCTTGGGTTGTGATTTTTAGATAGACTCCTCAGGAACAGATTCTTCCTGCAAAAGTTGCATCACCATTGATCAACTGTTCTGTTCCCCCTCCCCTTCCATCATTTTGGAAATTAGGGGTATGTGCAAAGAGTTCCTGGGCATTTCCCATATGATATAATTTGACATTTAAAGTGCAGCTCATACTAGTGTATGTGACATCTTCTGAGGGCATACCTTGCATGCAAACAAGGTATTTATGGTGGTGGCCCCTCTTTAAAACCTGACTTGTTTTGGGTGAGATGCTGTGAGTGATTGAGGTTTTGAATTTCTTGCCTGGAAGTTCCCTTTAATTGCAGAAGGGATGGAATTCTATGTGGCTTATAACCCTTGCAGGCCTTTTGCTCTGCGTTCTTGTGAAGGTTGTATTGCGTAAAGTCGAGCAAAAGTGGGGTGAGGGAACCTTGTTGCCTTGCTGGGCCTTTCTCTATGCTGGGTGTCAGTCTTGAATTGAAACTTCCCTTTGCTAGAGGTGATTGATTTTTTGACCCTGTTCAGCCATCAACCTTTTGGCTGGGTAATTGCTAGTCCTTGATTTGTGGATGAGCAGGAGCATGTTGACTCTGCAAAGTCAGAATTGTTGCATCCCAGAGGGACTTAGATCTTCTGGTGGCAGGTTTCACTGCTTTTCTCAGCCAGGAATCCTGAAAGGTAGAAACCTAATCTCTACATCGGCATCCCAATTTGCTCCTGAAGTGCTTTTACATCCATTGTCTTCCTGGTGCCTTTTGCATTTATCGTCTGAAATAGCTTCTGATTCTCATGGGTCCCTCTCCCCTCCACATGAAACTGCCACCTCATCTCTTTCCACTCATTTGTGTGCCCCTAGTCCTTATCTGCCACGCTGGTGGAAGATTGACTCAGTCGCCTATGAATGAAACATGAATTTGTTTTCAGTACCTCCGAATGTCACTTTTATGTTCTCCACTGGATTTCTCATGTGAAAACAAACTGCCGTGTTCTGCCCTGATAATACGATCTTGGCACAGCTTTCTGGATTCCACTGCAGTTGCTACCTGGCAGGCCTGGAATGATGTCTTGGGCTCTTTAATAGGTTGAGTTTTCTCAAAAGGCATCTGTCCGATGAAAAACATGCAGAGGGATAGAGGATAGCACAAACAAACCAAACTCTGCCCTCGCTGATAAATAAATTTATTCGGGTCCTGTCCTTTGCCTTATACAGTCTTCAGCAAAAATTGGTAAAATGCTGTTCAGCCAAATTTCAGTTTGTGCATATAAGAACTTGCAACTCCGTCATGTAGGCATTAGGGAATCGTATGTTATATAAGTAGCTCTTTTGCAGCTTTTGTGTTAAATCTCAAGTGCATGCCCCAAATAAAAATGGACCTGTTTCCTTAGTTATGTATGTTTCTGTTGCAGTGTGTGAGCTGACCTTTGCATTTCACCAATCTGGTCGCAGATGGAGGCTGATAAACAGAGAGGGATGCGATTACTTTGCTTTCATCTTCTAGGTGTTCATGTGGAAGGATTACCCAAATTTTCACAAAGGCTTTTGCAAGATCTCTTTCCTAAAAGCAGCACAGAAAGACGGTGTTGATCAGTGCAAATGAATGTATGCTTTGGGTGGTGGTGGGGAGAATCATATAATACCTAAATAGTGTTAGCTTTTATCACTCATGAAAAAAGGTAATGACATAGTTTGTAAATAGCACCCTGGAACCATCAGCTCAGTCTGTTTAGCCACTAAAATAGCAAACATGGCTAGAGAGTGTTAGGAAAAGAAGAAGAAATAATACCAAAAGGATCAGAATGTCTTAATATCAATCATTTGATGTATTATGTGTTTACTTCTTGAATGATGCATGGTACTTTGGGTTCTTTTCTTTTAAAATACACAATGGACTTGGATATGGATACTAGTTACAGATGTTACATGGCACATATTCAGTATGTTGAAGGGCGTAAGAAAAATTCTCACCCTCTTTTTGTAGGGTCCCTTCCATCTTAGAAGAGAGATAGTGAAGATAGAATAAGTATAATGTCGGTTGAAGAAAAGTGAATAGGGAACGTTTGTTTGATTTTACATATTGCTACAGCTAAAGAAAACTCAGAAGTAACACCAAAACATTAAACGAATCTTACAAAAATAGGTGTGTGTTAGAGTTGTGCAGCTCTCTCCCACTAGAAGTGGTAAATTGCCAGCTGATCCTCTGTGGCCACAATTTGGTGGACTGATCTTACACTGACTGTGCACCAATGTGCAGCTGACCTCCATGATCTGCAGTGTGTCCTGGGTTGCTTGCAACATCGGTTATGAACTCCTCTGCAGCTGTGCCATGGGATCTGCATCATATTGTTGATGCAACCAATCATTTCCCAACTTATGCATAGCTTTGTGAACAATGTTATCCCTGGGCCATCCCATAGTACGTGATTTTGATTTCAGAGGCATATAGTGTAAGTGTATGAGACAGGAGATTGGATAGCATGGACTTCCTCTCTTCTCAATGAAGTTTCGGATGGGGAAATAGATAGATGGGTTATGGTCATATTCAGTGCCCGACTGATTGCCACATATTTGGTTTTTTTGGCGGTCAGATTGACTAATGACTTCTTGTTGGTTGTTTTGTTTTTCCTGTGCCTCAATGTACATGACTTGGATCACTTGCTTGAGTCTTAAGGAGAGGTTTGCTCTCGGGTTGTAGCAAAGTGTGTTAAGGTTACATGAACTGATCTGGGAACAAGGGAGACAGAGTTGCTTCGTATAAGAGCAAGGGGATTGGAATAGGTGGCCTTTTATAGTTCGGTTCCTGTTCTCCTTCAGAGCTGTGGCTCTGTACCGATGAGCCTGTGGTCCTCCAGCTGTTGGAATCACAATGGCCATCAGCCCCAGCCATTATGACTAGTGATCAGGGCCACAGGTTCCCCATTCCTGCTCTTTATATTGTGCATTGCTATATTATTGACCCGCTTATCGTTGATCATACAATGGGGGTGGCAATCAGCGAAGCCTTGCTGGTGCTTGCAGCTGTTTCTCTACAGTTCCTCTCCACATTTTCCACTGATATTAGTTCTTATAAAAGGCTGAGTATGGAAGATAGTGGTTTGCCTAAGGCCACCTACTGGGTTCATAGCTGTGAAGAGATTTGATCAGGGGCCTTCCTGCCATATAGCTCACAGTCTTTGCCAGCTCTCAGACAGCAGAGGATTGTGAACTAATGAAACACAGCAATGCAGAAAGATTTTTAGCAGAGAGTCAAGAAATTAATAATTGCTTAAGTTATTAACCAGTGGTAAGCAGCTGAAAGGGACGCAGGTGGCGCTGTGGGTAAAAGCCTCAGCGCCTAGGGCTTGCCGATCGAAAGGTCGGCGGTTCGAATCCCTGCGGCGGGGTGCGCTCCCGTCGTTCGGTCCCAGCGCCTGCCAACCTAGCAGTTCGAAAGCACCCCCGGGTGCAAGTAGATAAATAGGGACCGCTTACAAGCGGGAAGGTAAACGGCGTTTCCGTGTGCAGCTCTGGCTCGCCAGAGCAGCGATGTCACGCTGGCCACGTGACCCGGAAGTGTCTCCGGACAGCGCTGGCCCCCGGCCTCTTGAGTGAGATGGGCGCACAACCCTAGAGTCTGGCAAGACTGGCCCGTACGGGCAGGGGTACCTTTACCTTTACCTTTAAGCAGCTGAAAATTGGATCCACACAATCACCCCCCCCCAAATGAGCGAGGTTTTGTTTTTACATTTGTCTCGTGGTTGAGATGCACATGGAAACCTGTCTTGTGAATGCTTCAACACATGTGGTCAGCACACGTTTACCGGGCTTCAGAAAACAAGCTGGCCAAATTCCAAAGCAGCCAGCAAATAGACTGCTTGATGCTGCATTCAAAAGATTGGTAAACATATGGTTCATTTGCAAGGTGACCGGTGGTGCATGGGTGTGGGAGGGAGGAGTAGGAAATTGATACGTGAATCTATTCCAGAAGTAGATGGCAAGGAATGGTGTACATGTACCCTTATCAGAGCAATAACTTCAAGTCAGCATTAGACTCCCATAGTGTAATAGCTCAGGCATAGGCAAACTTGGTCCTCCAGATGTTTTGGGACTACAGCTCCCATCATCCCTGGACCAGTGTTGAGTTGTAGTCCCAAGACATCTGGAGGGCCGAATTTGCCTATGCCTGTATTAGCTTGTACACTGGCCTGTGTCTTTCAGTTGAAGCCAGTATTGGGGATTTGCTTTGCTGAGCACTGGTAGAGCTGCATGTCGTAGTAGAGTTCCCACTGTCAGTCTTCGGAGCCCACTTGTCCTTCCTGTTTTGTTGTCACTCACAAATAATGTACCCTGAATAAGTGAGCAAATGCAGGAACACAAGCATTTGCTCACTTTGTTCTCTTTCATCCTTATGAACTAGGACTGTGGGATTAAGGAAAGTGTATAGGTCAGGAGGAGGTGGAACCATTCAGGGAGGGGAGAGAATCTTGTCACCCCAAAGACCTAGAGCAGGTGCTCATATCAGCCCTTGCAAATGCAGAGATAATCGTTGCAGGTACATTTATTTGGAGCAGGACAAAGGACCTGTGCTTGCTAAATGGTATCCTGCGCCCCTCAACTGAGACAAGGGGTGGAAGAGGTGTGCTGAGCATGGGAATGATGAGCATGAAGGGACCTCAATGACAGCT